GTTGTTGTTGTTGTTGGTTTAATGTATCAATTGAATTATTAGTTAAATTCATTAAACTATATGTATCACCAATCGATTGTTTATTATTATGAATATGTTGTTTTTGATGATTTCGACTTAAAGTTCGAAGTGCTGTTGGTGTTTGTGCAAATTTAAAAAATTTTCTTAATGGTGTATATTGTATAATTTCTCGTATGACCTGATAAACTTCTTCACGAAATTTTTTTCCAGTTAAAAAATAAATATAAAATTCTAAAACTGTATCAATTAATGTTAACATACGTAAAATAAGATAAACATTTGATGTTTTTAAATCTTCTGTTAAACGTGTACGATTTGAACGATGACTTGATTTAACATAAACATATATACTTGCTATACTATTTGTTGTTAAAAATACACAACTTGTTGTTAATGTTATTGTTGTTTCATAACTAACATCTTTTTTAGTTACTTGATTATTTGCATGTTGAGCTGATGAAGTTAATTGATGAACAGCTATTTTTTTATTTGTACCATTTGCATGTAAACTTAATCTTGTTATACGTTTTGGTGGAGCTTTTAAAACATAAACAATAATAACAATATTTGTTGTTGCAACGATTGCAAATGGAATTAATGATGAAACAATAAAATTAACAATAGGAGCATTGTAAAGAAATTCTTGAGTAGCTAGAAAGCCTCCAAATGAAAAATAACCCATTTGTCGTCCGAATAAAACATTACAGTATGTAAACGAACGATTTTTATCATCAATTACTGGTACTGTTACCAAATTTTGATAATAAAAAAGATGCCAATTATAAACTAAACCACAAAACATCATTGATAAAATAAGTACAAATACATGTAAAGGAGTTGGTTGAGGAAAACGTTTTGAATGTATTATTGTGATAAGTCGTACTGTACAAGCAAGTATAACAAAACCAATTGACCAAGATACGAATATATCACTACTACGTGATAAAACACATATTAATTTCGATGCATTTATCTGATCATCTTGAACAAAAAATTTTGTATCAAAAATAAATGTCCATAAAAGTGGAAATGTATCAAATATTGTTTTCAATAAAAGTAATACACCAGTTGTTGTTCCACGAAGCTAAAAATTAAAAATAAATTTTACTTTTTTTGAAAATAAAATTAATTAAAATACAAACCGGTTTTCGTAGAAAAATAATACAATTAAAAACTTTTCCAATTAAACCAAACGTAATAAGAACAACAGCAATTATTTGTAAGATGTGTGTATATCTAAATTAGATTTTTTTTAAAAATCTTTACAAATATATATTTCATATTAATAACAAACAAAAAAAGTTCATTAAGAGTTTTAATCTTTGTTACTCTCACTTCATTCAAGTATTAATCTTCACATATAAAGAGATTGTTTACTTCCTTATAGATTATGTCTTTGTTTGTTCTTATAAAACAAAAGTGACAAAGTACTATTTCATATTAATTGAAAGAGAAAGACATATTTTAAAATAATATTAGAAGAAGGAAATTCGACTTGGCTTCTAGAGTGTTATTTTTTCTCTTGAGAATATTTCTTTATCTTTATGTCCTTGGTAATTCATTTAAATATGTAAGAAACTTTTATCAATATGTTACTAAAAACTTGTTTCTATATATAGTTAATTAAACTAAAGAGAAAACAAAACTAGAAAAAAGCTTTTTAAGATGTTATCATTAAAAAATCTCTTTCGAAATCTTTTGTCTACAAGATAATTTAATTTACTTTTCGGCTGTACTTTGATATAATGTTGTATGACGTTGTGAACATTTTGTTATACATTCAAGATCATAAGAATCATTACCAACAAGTGCACCACTAGTATTGGTACTACGACATGATTCTATACAAAGAAATAAATCGTCACCCATTATATTAATAACATTATGAATTTAATGATCAGTGAATGAATGAATGAATCTAAAAATCAATAGAATACCTTTTGTTTAATAAACAATAAATAGTTTGATATACATTCTAGAATTTATTTCTTATGTAGTTATATGCGTGTTTGCTTCTCATTTTCTTCATTAATCTTATGGAGAGAGAGAGAGACACAAATAATATACGTACTAGATAAAAAAAACAGAAGAAGAAAAAAATATAGAAGAGAAACAAATCACTTTATGTCAGAGAAAGTTTGTACTCGATGATAATTATTAAAAAGAAAACGACGATTGAATATATCCTAAAGTTCTGTAAGAGATAAAATAATCAATTAGAATCCGTAGAGACATAAAAAAACTAGTTTCTTGACGTTTACTAATTACATATTATTAGTAATATTCAAGAAAAATAATCTTTAGCTTACTTTCATATGCGAAATATTTTCAAAGATGACAAATAACATTTATGATCTCTGCTTTTTAAGTAATCTGCTTATATATTCAGTAAGAGAAAAAAAAGGAAATCTGCTTAAATGAATTTCACTCAATCTGAAAAATGTGATTAATGCTTGTATATTATCTTACATTCTTTAGATTTGTTTCTAACAAGAACTTTCTATTATATAGTCCTGATAATAATAACTATAAAAGTTCTTATATATCATGTCTTTTGTTTTTAGGTACTAAAAGAACAAAAAAGAAAATATCATACAGCTCTAATTATTAAACTCAATCTTTTTGCTTGAGTAAATAGTCATGTATTTTCAATTCAATTCTTTCGATTCTAGTTGGTTAAACCACAATAATCTATTTAGATTTATGTTCTATTAATAAGAACTAAATATATATATGAAATAAATGCAACATAGAAAAGCAATTCGTATCTTTACTCTCTATTCTATTATTGTCCACAGAACAAACTAACCTAACTGTTATGTATGTATATATCTATGCGTGTTTCATTAACAAATTAAAATATCAATATGAAATTATGTGTCGAATAAAATTCTATAGAAACAATGTTTTCTTCTCATATGACTTACTTGATTGGATAATTTCACAATTTTTTTTATCAGAAAAGAAAGAGTCGCGCAATAAGATTGGCATGTGTCATCGATTTTTAACTCTCATGCGGGAATGACTAGAAGGAAATGAAACAACAGACAACTAGACTCTTTTTTTCTCATGGGATAGACAAAATAATCAAAGCTCTGTTTAACTACTGAGATAATAATTGTCACAAAGAAATTAAAATTAAGTTGATGTTAACAAGTACAAATTATAATACAATTGTTTCTCCTTTTTTTCTCTCTATTAATAATAAAATCTATTAAATTGCATACAAAATAAATAAATTATTATTATTTTACTTGATAGTAACATTTTTTTTTATAAAATAAATTCCTTCAATAATTAATATATTCAATAATATTTGTTTTCTTCTTTAAAAAACAATTCGAATACACATATACATCTTATCTAAATGCATTTAATCGGCCAGAGAGCAAGAATCTTTTTTCTTGGCAAAAGCTTTTTGATTATCTATCACTAGATTTTTCGATAAGTACACATCAATTGATGACGAAAGAAAAAACAAATATGGTAATTTTTTTTTAATGAGATATATTGGCACTTATTTATTATTGCTAATATATAGAAACAAAAAAAAGCATAAATACAAAAAAAAATTAATTCAAATATTGTTTACAAAAAGAAATGCTGACTAGAGTTTTCTATAATGGCCTGACGTGAAACAAATAGAGAAATACTGTTCATTGTAATTGATATAGAAAAAAATGACAATATCAATTAAGCCCATACCTAGGAAGAAAATAGAAATATATCTAGATTTTTTTATAATGTTTATCTTACTCGAATAGTACAATCCCAAGATCCAGTACCTAATGCTGTACCATCTGGTGATACTTTTAATGAACTAATACGATTTTCATGACCATATAAAGTTGCTACACGTGATCCTTTTAATGTATCCCAAACATTAATACAATAATCGCTATAACCACCAAAAAGAATACGACCTTAAATTTAAATTATGAATGATATATAATTCATTTTTAAAATATATTTTACCACTCAATGAAAAATCTACAGCATTACATGAAAATATAATTGATTCTTTTTTAAATATAGCTACTTGTCGATCAGCACGTAAATCAAATAAACGACACTAAATATAATTTAGAAAGAAAATTCTTTTTTTTTTTCGCTTCTTCTATTCTTACAGTTGCATCATCCGATGCTGTAACAAATGCATCACCACTTGGATAAAATCGAACAGCATTTACATCAGATTCATGACCTTCAAATGTTTGAACATAACTACCTGTTCTTATATCCCATACCATAGCAATATGATCAGCACTCTAAAATAATTACTAAGTGATTATCATGGGAATAAAATTAATCATACTCCTGATACGAAAATATTTCCAGCTTCTGATGGTGATATATCTATACCCATAACATCAGCTTGATGACCTTGAAATGTTTGTATTGGTGTACTACTTTCAATATCCCATAATTTAGCTGTACTATCTCCACTAGCTGTTAATATCTATAAATAAATCTTTTATTTTTCCATTAATTCAATAGAAATCGTATATTACTTGTTGATCTGAATGCATAAATTTACATGCTGATATATAATTTGTATGTGTTGCAACTACTTTTTTATGTTTACTAGCATCATCATCAGTATTTAATGGATATAATGTTACTTTATTATCTAATCCTCTTAAAAAAAAAAAAATTTAATAATTTCTTTTTTTTTGTTGTTGTATTATTAATTACCCGCATGCAACAGTTGTAGCTGATGGTGAATATGCACAAGCTAATACCCAAGTTGTTGGTATTGATATTGCATGCTTTAAAATTAACGAGAAAAAAAATAAATATGAAATATTTAGTAAGCAAAATTAAATTTCTATACTTCTTTATTCGTTGAAAATGCATCCCAAATAATGAGTTTTCCATCTTGTGATGTACTGACCATATGTCTTTTATCATTTGACCAATCAATAGCTAAAACTTTGCCTTGATGACCTTTTAAAATTCGGCGTGATTTTGTTGTAAATGTTGGTAATGAATCAAGTTTTTCAGCTACAGTTGTTACTAAGAAAAAAACAAAATAAATAAATGAAAAAAATCGAATCTTTTTTTTCTAAATTAACATACATTCCATATCATTAAATTTTGCTCGTTCTTCTTCAAGTCGAGTTTTTAATGTTTCAGCTTCACGAACAAGATCATCTATTGATTCCGTGATAACAGCCATCGTTTTTTCTGTTTATGAATGATCACAAGATAAATGAGAAACAAGAACTCATCCACAGTGTATTTTATGGAATTTCCTTGTTCTTGAATATGGCAGCAATAATTGGAGCCACTAGTCCTATGTTCTGTTCTGTAAAAAGTGATAAGGCAAGAAAATATTATATCGTATTATTTGCTGACAAATAAACTTTTTCACATTCATTTAAAGATATAAATAAATATGATAAGATTGGTAATTATTTGCTTTCGTAATATGTTTTTTTAATAAATAAATGAACTATTTTAATAGTAAAATAAATATGTTCATAATAAAATAGTGAGAAATTCAATAATCTACCGTTTAGTTTACATATATGATCTGAACTCGTAGAATCAAAATTTAGGACTCTATATTAAATTTATTACAACATCTTCTCCCTCAGAATTTGAATGATGAAAAAAAAACTACCTAAAAATTATATATATATTCATAGTTTTAGTTTGATTATTAATAACTACAAAGATAATATCTTTTCTTTTATTTATATTCTTCTATAAGAATCACAAAAATTACAAATATCTCTTTGATATTTGTATATCATTGCCAGCAAAATTTGTTAAAGCCGTCGAATAGTGCATAGTTCTCTTCTAAGTATAACTTGAAGCTAGAAATATCTTACATATTTTTCGCTGCAAGTCATTCTTAAAAAGCCAGCTAATGACTATATCTAAGATTTCAGATAAAAGATGCATATAAGATAATAAATTTGAAGCGAAATGATAAAGAGAAAGAGACATAACTGAACCGGTTTCGTTTGATCGAAGTAACGAATTGAAAATAATATTAAGATTTTCTAGTTTAATATCATGTATTTTTAATATTTAAATGATGAGAAAACGTCATTTGGTTGATATTTTTTATTCAATATTATAAAAATAGAAATAAGGTTTGATCACAGATAATTTTCACTTATCTTTCAATTTATACGCTCCTGTTTGATATTAATTTTTTCAACATCAGACGAATAATGAATTTTTTGAACTTCTACCTCACTGGATGGTATAAAAAAGGACTCCATACAATAGTTACTAATATTACCTAGAGATAGGCATTTAATAAAATCTCGAAGTTAGAATGTAAATCGATTTGACTAAAGTTTTCTATGCTGATTTATAGTTTTTTTTATTTTAAACGAAACAAAACCCTGACTATAAGTTAAGTGCGTAATGTTTTCTTTAATGATGTAACATAAAAATATGATGAACATATACATAAAATAGTATCGCAATAAGTTAAAAGATCACATTGGCAAGAAAAAAAGGGAAATTTTTCTGAATGAATGAGTGATTGAATAAATGAATGAATGCAAAAAAGAAAAACTTTATTCTCAGAAGAAAAAAAAACAAAAAGAACTTTGCTGGGAAAATGGGAAACGAAAAACAAATCTAGTTTATTCTTGTCTTGAATTATCATTTGTTGATGATTGATTAACTTGTTCAGTTATTGTTGGTTTACTTTGAACTTTATCATCAGTTGGCTTCGATTCTATTGGAATTAATTCATACAAATATATAAATAAATTAATATATAAAATTTTACCTTCTACTTTTCCTTCAGTACTGTTCTCTTGAGGTTGATTCTCTTTATTAGCACCTCCACGTTGTCGAAAACGACCTCGACCACGTCCACCACGACCGCGACCTTTAATAAACTCCTCTTTATACAAGAGAACAAAAACTTTAATTAAAATTAAACTCACTACGACCATTAAATCCATGATTACCATTACCATAACCGTAATACATTCCATAATAATAAGGTGACATACCATATGGATCATAATAACCTAAACAAATCGATAGATACATATTCTATTGAATTATTTCTTTTTACCTTGTTCTATGAAGTAACCATTACCAGTTCGATTACCACGTTGATTACGGCGTCCACGACGAGTATTACGTGGTTGGGATTGTTCAACATCCGTATTATTCTCTGCTGTATCTTTTCTATTTGGTCGACTATCTCGTCGATTTCTTGGTGCTACACGACGAACAACTTTATTAACAATATTACGTACAACATTTTTCACTATTGTTTCATCATCTTTTGGTTTTTGTGTCTTAGTACGTTCTTCACCTTCAACACCACTTTGACTTGCATTTGTATGACGACGTCGTCTTTTAAATTATGAAA